ATCTAGCTTTACAAATGATTGCTTACTTTAGACCTTCTCTAGCAATTTCCTATTCATTCACTCAGTAATACCATTCAATTGTGGAGTCTATCTAATAGTCTTATGTCTGACAATCCCATTATCCTTGCAAAATTTAGTAAACTCACTATTCAAGTATTCCAACCCATTATCTATTCTTAACATTTTAATTTTCTTTTATGTCTAATTTTCGACTAGCATTTCCTATTGCTTGAATGTCTTAAATACTTCATTTTTATGTTTCAAAATATTCATCCGAACTTTTCTTGAAAAATCATCAATGAAGGAGATAAAAATACCTACCAACACCTAGAGTTAAAATAGGAGTAGGTCCTCAAATACTTGAATGTATGTAATCAATAATCACTCTAGTTGTTTGTTGTCTTGTATAAATCTTTATCTGAGTTTGTTTTCTTTACAAAGATACATTGTTCACAAAAAATTAATCTTATTCACATTATCTTTGCCAAAAAAACTCATGGTTCATGTAGAATATTTAATCATTTCTGACTAATGTGACCAAGTCAAAGATGCTAAAATTTTGTTTGATTTATCTATGTAATATATGAAATGCCTACTGAACTAGTCATTATCTTTCCCAATAGAGAATGCAATCCATATGCCTCTTACCCTTCGTAATTACATTCAAAATTTTGATCACTTTAAGAACACCATTCTCAACATTACACATGTAATAGAGCGTATCAAGAGTATCAAAAGACAACAAGTTTCTTTTCAAGTTTGGCACATATCTGAGTTCAGTAAGAATCCTAATCACTCCACCATCAACCTTAACTTTTACAGTTTAAATTCAAATTACTCTACAAGCTGCATCATTTCCCATAACGATCTTTCCACCACTGACTTTTGTCATAAATCAAACCATTGCCTATTAAAAGTCATGAGAAATGAATGAACTAAATCCATTACAATAGTGAAAACATCTTAATCGACAAATATATATGATGATACCGAAGCATCCCAAAATTCAATAGATTTTTTTCATCCTTCTTTTCCAAATTAGGATAATTCTTCCTATAATGACATTTCTTGTAGTAATGAAATCATTTGAATTTGGCATTTGATTTAGACCTAGACTTATATCTCTATTTGTTCTTTTCTTTTTTATTTGACCTACCTCTAGCATTTGAGTGTGGAGATCCTTCACATTCTTTCTCATTCTTAGTTTCAATCTAATTTGATTTTAAAGATATCTGAACTTCCTCTAACGACAAATTCTCCCAAACATATTTCATTGTTTCAACAAAATGAACATATGATTTAGGAAAAGAATTTCTGATGATTATTGTCTGGTCCTCATCATCCACCTTAACTCTTAGATTTTCTAATATATGATAATTTTATTTAAATTGTATATATTATCCTTAAGTCTTTTTGATTCAGATATTTAAATCCAACCAATTTAACTTTAAAGTACATTCTATTTTGCAAGTTCTTACTCATATACATCCATTCTAATTACAATCAGATCCCAAATGTAGCACAAGTGTATCATATGCTAGCTCTATGATTTCTACTTTTTCATATGTGTTTAAGGAGCAAGAAAAATTTATCTCCTTTTAAAGCCTTATCAACTTTTATTTGGACCAAAATAGCTTTCACTCAGTTATGCCAAATTGAGAAATCAAATTTTCTACTAAGCCTCTCAATTTTACCACATTTTGTTAACCTTAATTGGTGGCTCTAATAAATTTGATATAATTGAAAACCAAACTGACTCAGGATCTTTTCAAATGATTGAAACTAAGACTTTTAAATAACGATTCAAGTTGCATAGAAGGACCTATTATTTCAAGGTCAACAACAATGCACTTACAAACAATTTAAATAAAAGAAATAGTCTAAACTTTTCAAATAATAGTTATCCTTTAATTAAACAAGATAATATAGCTTAGTGCCATAAAAAAATTGCCAAAACTTTAAAGAAACTTAGGAGAATATTTAATGATAGTTTAAAAGGACACTTTTTAATTAATTATAATTAATTAACTAAATAATTTGCACTAAATAATGCTCAATTAACAATATGCTAACTATTAAAGTTTCTTTGCAAACCCATTGAGTGGAAAATATTGGTCTAATGATTAACCAAAAACTTAATTTATAAAACCAGCAATAACCATATAAAGAAAGAAAATCATAAATGCATCCAAAACACAAATAAATAAGATTTACATGATTCAGCGCGTTTGTGCCCATATCAATGGAACTTTTATTCTATCCAGTGAACGTACGCAGAGGAAGGTTCGGTTTTAGACAAAAAAGCGCCTGTACCGAGTTTTTTCAAAAAACTCGGTACACTGAAAAAAAACTCGGTACAGGCACTTTTTTGCCTAAAACCGAACCTTCCTCTGCCTACGTTTACTGGATAGAATAAAAGTTCAATGGGGAAAAAGATAGGGCTTTATTAACTTTCACATATTACAAGAGACTAACATTTAACAATTATATTAACAATTATCTTGAATTAAAGCTAGTGAAATATATAAACAAAGAAAGAAATAATATCACCTGATAATCTTGAATTTAATATACTACACGGAAGAAAGAATAGTTCTATGATTTACATCCATAGTGATGTAGCTCTAGATCTGTTCATTTTCCTTTGTTTCTATAAAGTTGCCATCCCAACTAATGCCCTAGACTAGGTTCTTCATCGTCGTTGCAAGCACAAGAAATCTCAAAGCTATAAGAAGAATCATAAGTATCTCACTTCTTGCTTCCAATCTCGAATGTACCTATTTCCTCTTGATTTGCTAGAAATTACACGAGAGGGAAGAAATCTCATTCGTGTCTCCGCCCAACTCTCTCTCTCTCGGCTTCTCACCCCAACAGCTCTCAGTTTTGCATTGGGTGATGTGACGCCTCCTCCTTCACATTCGAACGTGTTCGACGTGAGCACATAAGAATTTTCCCAGTTTTGTACACTACCAACTCAATTCAATCCCAAGAGAGGCTATATGTAAGGCTACACAAGAAACCAAATGTTGTTAGCAATGAAGAAGAAATTTAAAACTAATTATAAGTATAAATTATTAAATTAATTATCATTCTAAAATTTGATTCAATATTTTTTTTTAAAAAAAGTTACCATATATTTTTTATAATCTTGGCTACATATGCAAGAAATGCACAATAAATCTTTAATATGTATTTGGTCTAAACTATATGAGACATGTTGCTGAGAATTAATATTGGGACAACTTTTTTATTGTTTTCTACTGTGAATTGAGCTTTGCCGAGTAACTTGATCTCTACTGTGAATTGTCAATTTTGGCAAGTTGTTGTAAGAAAAACTTTGGAAGACATAGAAACCAAGCCTAGTCTACGATATGAGTCTAAAATATCTTAGGCTTTATTTAGGATAATTTCCTTCATATTCTCTAAAGCAACTTTTTAGCACAAAAATTTCTAGTTCAAAAAATTTTTGTACCAAAAAGCTGTTTTACAAAACAGTAAGGAAGTTGTCTCAAACGAAACCTTCATATATAGGATTTGTTGATAAATATTTAAAGACGAGTGCAATGAAGGATAACAACAAGCTTCAATCCAACCACTAGATTATATGTGTCATTATTAATTCTACTAAATTACTTTAACTAAATTTAAAATTCAATTTTTATAATGATTATATGAGATAAAAATGACATCAATAAAGATAAAGAGTTAATTAAGAACCACATGATGTCATGTTTTGTTAATTTATTCAAATTTATTGAATGTTTGTTTTCATTCCTCTCTTTTCTCCTTCATTGGCCTCCCAAGCTCTCTTATCCTTTTGCTTTCTCACTCATCATCATCATCCAAAAATTCACCGATTATTTTCTTTTATCTACTAGCATGTGTATATTGTACAATAGTTAATTGTTAAGACTTTAGGGTTTAGGGTGTAGCTGCTTATACGCACATAATAGAGTTTATAGAACTATGAATACTTTGTGATGCGGGTACCATTCGCCTACGGTGATCCGGCGGATCACATACTGCTTATTACTGCTCCACTTCTTCTTATTACCTGCTTAAGTTACCTTTCTGTTATTTTTAGTACTGCACCTTTTTATTTCATGCTTTTCCAAACTTAGCACTTTCGTTTTCTTTATTACCCTGGCTGTAAGAAGGATGCCTTAGACTTAAAATTACAAAATATCTGGTTATCACTGTTACATACTTACATTGAGTTCTTCTCTCCATTCCGGCTTCCTCCTTCTTTAGCTGCTGCACCACTTTGAAATATATATAAATATAAATATTCATAGTTCTATAAACTCTATTATGTACGTATATATAAGCAGCTACATCATAGTAGGATCTCTTCATAGAATATATAACTTTATAAAAATATTAAATAAATCAGTAAAAAGCATAACACTAGCTTATAAAACTTACCATCTGTTATGTTCTTGAAACAGACAAGACAAGAAAGAGGAAGCTAGGAAATTAAAGGTAGCAGGTAAAGGAAAGAGATAAAACTATATTATTATGAGCAGTGTTTACAGATGTATATATAGAAGATATTAAAAGCAAGTGACCAAGGAATGGTGTCCACGTGTATCTTGATAACAGATTCAAGATTTTAAATAAAGTGTCTAATAGCCCCCCTCAAGCTGTTGGTTCGGGAGAAACGACTAGCTTGTCCGAGAGGGCTTTGAAACGTGGAGCTGGTAGTGCTTTTGTGAGCAGTCAGCAATTTGGTCCTTGGTGGATATATGATGAACGTCCAGAGTTTTATCTTTGATACAGCTGCGAATGTAGTGACAATCGACCTCGATGTGTTTGGTCATGGCGTGGAAGACAGGGTTGTTTGCAAGTGCGATGGCGGAGGTATTGTCACAATACAATGGAGTAGCTGTGATTTGGTTGTGGTTGAGTTCGCGAAGAAGGCTGCGGATCCAGACAACTTCTGTAGCAGCGGCGGCGAGTGCGCGGTATTCGGCTTCAGTGGATGAGCGGGCGACGGCGGTTTATTTCTTGACTGTCCAAGAAATGAGTGATGAGCCGAGATAATTGCAGAAACCCGAGGTAGACTTTCTGTCAGTGTCGTCGCCGGCCCAATCTGAGTCGGCGAATGACCGGAGGAAAGGCTTGTCTCGGAAGAGAGGGAGACCGGTGTGAATTGTTCCTTGAAGGTTCCGCAATATGCGTTTTAGAGCGTCGAAGTGTGCGATGGTTGAATTTTGCATGTGTTGGCACACTTTGTTGACATCGAATGAGAGATCTGGTCTCGTGAGCGTCAAATATTGAAGTGAGTCGGCGAGTTGGCGATAGAGAGACGGGTTTGAAAATGCATTAGAGTTAGTATGTGTAATGGAAGATTTCAGTTTAAACGGTGTGGAGACGGGTTTACAATTAGTCATACCTGCTCGGGATAAGATAGTTTGAGCAAATCGGCTTTGATTTAGGTGCATTCTGTAAGGTTTATGGACAACTTGTATGTCGAGGAATTGGGATATAGTGCCAATAAGATCTTTCATGGGGAATTTGGTGTTGAGATTGTTGATGAAGTTGTTGATTGCGGTTGGGGAGTTTCCTGTAAGAATAATATCGTCAACGTAGACTAAGAAATACATGATTATGTTATGGTTATGATAGATAAATAATGATGTGTCGGAGGAACTTAGCTTGAAACCAAGAGTGAGGAGATGTCCGGAGAGCGTTGCGAACCATTCTTGTGGAGATTGTTTGAGGCCGTAGAGTGCCTTTTTCAGCCGGCATACATGATTTGGATGTTGGGCGTTGAGGAAGCCTGGCGGCTGTTTCATGTGATGTGTACGTGGTAGGAATGAGTGATGTGTGTTGAGTTGAAGAGACAGTGCTCGGTTGTGTGTTGAGAGGAGGGTCGGTTGGATGAAAGGAAGCCGGGGTGACGATGCCAGACGTGGCTTGAGCTGGGTTGTTTGTTTGTTGTAGGTTAGTGGGTACGAGAAGGAGGGGAGGCGGGAACCATTGAGATTTGTCCGGTGTTAGCTGAGATTCTTTGGACCGGTATGGGTAGATGGCTTCGTTAAATATTACGTGGAAAGACACGTAGACGCGACCGGTTGTGGGATTGAGACGAAGGTATCCTTTTTGAGCGGTGGCATAGCCGATAAAGACGCATGGGGTAGATAGAGGGGAGAATTTGGAGGAGCTGTACGGCTTTAGCCAGGGATAGCAAAGGCATCCTATGATTTTGAGATGATCGTAGGTGGCTGGTTTATTGTACAAGATGTGGTAAGGGCTGTAGTTGTTGAGGAGCGACTTGGGCAACGATTAAGGAGGTAATTAAACATAGGCGATAAGCACTTCAACCCATAGTGAGTTCGGGAGATTAGCCTCCAAAAGTATGCTGCGGACGGTTTCGATAATGTGTTTGTGTTTACGTTTGGCGACCCCATTTTGAGGTGGGGTGTAGGCGCAAGTGTACTGATGTTGTATGCCAAGTTGCCGAAACAGATTTTGAAACTTACCATTTACAAATTCTCCTCCTCCGTATGACCGAAAAATTTTAAGCTTAGCGTTAAATTGACGAGAGATCATATGATTGAATTCGTTAAATTTAGAAAAAGCATCATATTTATTAGTTAGGGGGTAAACCCAGTAAAATCTTGAATAATCGTCTATAAATGAGATGTAGTATTTAAATCCTTGAGCTGATGTTGTTGGAGCCGGTCCCCAAAGATCTGAGTGAACTAAGTCAAACGGATGCGAAGTGCGACTAGTTGAACGAGTAAACGGTAAGCGATGACTTTTTGCTATTCTGCAAGAATTACAATGAGTAATGTTTTTATTACAAAGAGAAGGAATGTATCTATATAAGTATTGCACGGTGGTATCCGCGGGGTGTCCGAGCCTTTTGTGCCATAAGTTGGGAACATCTTGGGCTGAGACGAGAGCTAGAGGAGGGTTGTGGTGAGCAGACCGAATGGGATAGAGACCGTCAAGACAAGGACCCGTGAGTAGTAAACGATCCGTCTTCGAGTCCTGAATTTTAAAACCGTTAGCCGAGAACTGGACAATGCATTCATTGTCCTTGGTGAGCCGATGGATAGAAATAAGATTGAAAGAAAGATTAGGTACGTGAAGAAGATGTTGAAGTTGAAGATTACCTGATGGTGTGGGCAGGATGCCTTTACCTGAATTTTGAATAGGGATTTGGTTGCCGTTGCCGAGAGTGATTTGTTGATTGCATGTATACGGTTTGATTGAGTTGAGCTGTGAAGGATCTGCAGTAAGGTGTCTGGTGGCGTCGGAGTCAAGAAACCAATCATTAGAGCTGTTGGTTTCAGCAGGAGCGTAGAGGGCTGTTTTATTTTTGTCGTCGGAGTAGGACGGATCGTGGCGATGCCAACATTTGAGAGCTGAGTGGCCCGATTTAGAGCAGATTTGGTAGGTTATCGAGCGTGTGTTGGGTTTGTCCGAACTAGGATGAAAAGAACGTCCAATGGACGCCGGGCGAGTACGTCCTCGATTGTTGCTGTGGTGAGTGGAGAGCGCGGTGGAGGGGTCAGTTAATTGCAATTTTTGAAGATTCTTGGATTCTTCTTGAACAAGATTTAACTCCTCGCTGCAAAGAAGGGTGTACAAGTCGTCGAGGCTTAGAGGTTGGAGATTCGTGCGTATAGCGATTTTGAACGCCTGGAACTTGGGCGGTAGACTGTTGAGCGTGTAGAATATAACTTCTTTGGGATCGAGCGGAGAGCCGGTGGCAGCGATGGCATCAACAAGAGATTTTATGGTGAGCAGATACTGCAACATGTTCTTTGTGTTCATGGAGACATGATGAAGTTCGTTGCGTAGCTGAATAGTTCTTGAGCGAGTGGAGGACTGGAGGCGGCGGGAGATTGTGTCCCAAATTTCTGAGCAATGTTCAAGTGAAAGAACATAAGGTAGAATGCTGGGTGAGATGATCGAGTAAAGTGTGGCAGCCAGATTCTGATAGATGAGTAGCCAGTTTTGGGCGGCTGAGGACTCGGTGTCGGTGGGGCAGAGGCAAGATCCGTCGAACCTATTGGCTTTAAAGATTTTGAGTACCTGGGAACGCCAGAGAGGGTAGTTTTCAGCGGTGAGAATGGTAGAAATGATGCTTTTGATGTTGCTCATAAGAAATTTGAGCTGTTGAGGGATGGGTTGTTGATCAAGAATGGCAGTCGGATTTTGTGTGGCATCATTAGTGGCTGCTGTGGATGAGGAGGAGGCCATGGATTGATCGCCGGAGGAGGAACAATGGGAGAGATAGAGGGAGCAGAAAGATCAAGATACCTAGGTATTCACGGGAGAACCCGCTCTGATACCATGTTATGTTCTTGAAACAGACAAGACAAGAAAGAGGAAGCTAGGAAAAGGTAGCAGGTAAAGGAAAGAGATAAAACTATATTATTATGAGAAGTGTTTACAGATGTATATATAGAAGATAATAAAAGCAAGTGACCAAGGAATGGTGTCCACGTGTATCTTGATAACATATTCAAGATTTTAAATAAAGTGTCTAATACCATCTACTTCATATATTATATTTGTAAAATTAAGCTACTAATATGGAGGGAGTTAATGATGCCTTCACGATCAAAAGCATAATTTTTTTTCTACTATCTTCTTCAGTACTATGGACTTTCCCAATTCCCACTCTACCATAACCTACCCATAGGGCTTCATCAATCCACTCAACATTTCCTCACATTTATTAATTCCAATAAATACATTATGTAAATGGTTTGAATCACATTGCATAAGTCGCTCCTATATAATAATATGGTCTTGGTGTTAGAAAAGCCAGTAAAAATTATTTTATAATATAAAACAAATTTCCTCATATCTCAAACTTATAATTTTTATTTTATTTTAATATATATATCACATGTCATGATCTCCTAAATGTATCATCTTTAAATGTACATGAGGAACATCAAACTTGCTCGTTATAATATCTCTACTTTTACATATTCTTGTTGTCCCTTACTTTGCCTAGCCCATGGTGATCCTAAGCTTCTTAGACTTGTCCTTTGACTTTAAGTGGCTAGACCAGCTCAAACCTAACATAGACCCAACTTAGTCATTCCCATCCTAGGTTTACCACTAGATTAGGCATATGTCTCAGACTTGTCTTAGTCTTAGGTCGATAGAGTCTAAGTTCCCCTTTTATACATCTTAGATTAGGTGGCTCAGCTCTAGTCCATACAAGATTAGGCCCTGATTAAACATTGGTGCAATTTGACCTATATTATCTTAATTGATTATATGACCCATAACTGGGCCCAATTTGACCTAAATTAATTCATATGCTCTAGGATATCCTATTGATCTTTAGTTAGACTAATCCTAATTTAGGTAGACCTTAGGTTGATCAAAATTGACCTAAACTGATGATTCCCTTTAAGGAATATTGAGTCATGACCTAGTCGATTCCCACATCAAATAAATCACATTCGAGTTGATGTATCAAATGAGGGAAATCTCGTGACTTTTGGGTTATACATATTATTATTCATTAAGGTGTGTAGGTGAAAGCTGCTCTCTTCTATGACTAATCGTATTTATGACTCCATCTGCACTTTCATCAGCCTGCTTGTGTCAAGTGTAAATGCCTACGATTGTTTTGTCCTACGGGATAGTGCGGTCATACCCTTTGCATTAGAAACCCTACGAGCAGAATCCTTTCGGAGACCCACACTGATTAAGGCTTCGTTTGGGACGATTTTCTTACTTTTTTCTTAAAACAACTTTATAATAAAAAAAATTAACTTTTGAACTAAAAAGCTGCTTTAAAAAGCAGTTGAAAGTCATCCCAGCTTTCTTACTACTTTCTAAAACAGTTTTTAAGTTAATTATATTTTTCGAAAAAAAAAATGTACTAAAAAGCTTCTTCATAAAATAATATAAAAGTTATCCCAAAAGAAATCTATAATTGCTTGCATACAAGGCCTTTCTTAACCAAAACTTACATGGACTATAGGGCTCTTTTAATTTTGAAATATATTTTAATTAAAATTAGATCAAAATTTTTGATCATTTTAAACAAAAAATGTGTAATAAAAAAAATTAGAAAAATATTATAATATTAATGCAAAATAAAGAATATATCTTTCAACTTATAAAATATGGTCATTGATAAAATTTAAATAATCATATTTTTCAAGGCCCCATCTTTTTTTAATGATTTCGGTTACAATTTTCAACTGCTTGTACGGCTCAATTAACGAATTTGTTAAAAGAAATCAAAGACGTCATCTCTCTCATCAGAGACCGCTCTGCCTCGGCCAGAATATATATATATATATATATTGGATGAAAGCCTGAATATGATTACAAATTTAAAATATTTATTTTGTTTTCTAACTTAGTGATTTCATTGCACAATGAGAGGCGATCTATTCGATGTAAAAATTATTTTATAATATTTGAAGTTAATCTTCATTTAGAAAGAATATGCTTCTGAATTGATCTCAGCGTTGCCAAAAAAAAAACAGAATTATTAAAGTCTGATTTAAACTTGATAATAGAAATTTAAAATTATTTTTTTAAGAAATATTTTATTATAAGAGAATCAATAGGAGTCGTCCAAAAAAGTCTTTCGGATTTTCTCCACCTTTATTGGTATATGCCACTCTAAAAAATTTAAAAATAGGCATCCATTCTCTACATGAATAGGGGATGGGGGAGAGAGAGGGAGAGAGCTTAAAGTTAGAGCATGAACTCTCTTTTGAGTTTCAAGAGAACTCTGAGGCTCTAAGAACACCCTTGCCAAGCCTTCACAGACCAACCACTATGGTCCCTCGACTATTATCACCTGACAACAGTCCTCATACAATATTGTTGCCCAATTATGATCCTCTGACAACCGTCGCCCTCAGGCTATGACACTCAGACCACTGTCGGTTCATTATAGTCCTTCAGACCTTTGGCACCTACTCACTACAGCCTTCCTTCCAACGTCACCCGAGGATTACAGTTCTTTCTACCTCCATTGCTCTGACTTCTATTGCCTACTGACTATGTTCCTCTGATTACATTATTCGACTACAGTTCTCCAACCACATCATTTGACTACGATCATCCAACTACATTGTCTGACTATCATCATATGACCACATTCGTATGACTATGGTTCTCAGACAACCATTGCCTGACAACGGTCCTCAGATCATTACTGTTTGACTATAGTCTTTCAACTACAATCATTCCACTACAGTCTTCTCACCACAATTATCTGACTACAGTTCACTGATCTTCATCACTCATCAATTACAATCCTCCAACCACTGTCACCCGACTAAGATCATTTGAGCACCATTGCCCAAACATAGGCATCTGACCACCATCACATGACTATGGTTATTTAGACTTCCATCACTCGCTAACTAAAATCCTCTAACCATTATCGTCATACTACAATCTTGCAGCCACTGTTATCCAACTACGATTCTTGCAACCTCTATCGCTCATTGACTACATTCCTCCAACCCTTATTCGTCAGTTGATTATGTTCTTTCAGTCATTGTTGCCCAACTACAGTCCTTTCGGCCTTCATTGCCCGTCAATAACAATCCTTTGACATCTGTCACCTATCAACTATGGTCCTTCGTCTATTGTTGACTGACTACAATCATTCGACATTATCTTCTCGAATACTATCCTTGGACCATTGTCGCATAGTTAGGGTCCTTTCAACCTTTGTTGCCTTCTAACTACAATCCTCTGACCTATGTCACCCATTGACTAAGGCCCGCCAACCTACAATCTTCTAATTATAATTGCATGGAAACTCCAACGCCTACTGACTTTGTCAATTATTAAAAATGCCAGCACCCACAATCATTTATAAGATCAATGCACGTTGTTGGCATCAACTCTTACCCTTAATTCCAACACTTGTGTTTATGATGGATTCCTACCAAAAGACTCTCTAACTTCAACCAACTAATATGCTCTTTGTAGTGTATCAATGCCTTTCTCAAGGAAGGACTTCACTTATAATCATATACTAATACTAGTAGATTCATTTTAAAATGGTTAAGCTTCGTTGTTTTTCCTTCCACGAGATTTTTATGTAAAAATTTTGATGTCTCTTATAGTTATTGCACTTGTCTCTTATCTATGTATGTGCTAGACCTTTATGAAAAACTAAGACTTTAAACTCTCAAGATCGATCTATGCCATCGCAAATGTTTCGACACTCATCAATAATATATAACTAATTAATTAATTATTATATTGCACTCAAATAAAAATTAATAGTACAATTTTAAAATCTTAATATATTGGACATTTAATTTTAAAATCTAAAATATATTAATGTTTTTATTTGAAATCATGAAAGAATATGTTGACCCAATTTTTCTTTCATCTTTTATCTCATTATTTTTGGTCGTTTCTAAGAAAATGTCAATGACTAACAACAAATCTTTAAAATCATTCATTGGTTCATTTGGGATGATTTACTTACTGCTTCTTAAAGCAGCATTATAGTACAAAAAATTTAATTTTTATACTAAAAAGCTGTTTTAAGAAGCAATAAGAAAATCGTCCCAAATGAAGCCTTATCTATCATATTCTTGCCGCAAGGGGCTGCTTTGATGGTGCCAAAATTTAGTCAAATGAACTAAGTTCTTATGCAGATTATTCCATTTGAGTGGTTGAATTTGAAAAGAAAAGTTTCCAAATATAATTTATTTAATCATAATTTAATTTAAATCCGTTTGCCTAATACAAATTTGATTATCTTATAATGCACAGAATTGATCAAGTTTGCATACATTTACTTTTTTGGGAGAATAGACCTATATGCTGCTTTTGGATCTAAATGTCTTTGCCATAAAAAATATAAGTCATAATCCTCAAATAGCAACGACACTCGAACACCCCTATTCCCATTACCTTTTTTCTCCAGTAATATCAGTGTTGGCCTGATAGTACCACCGACGTCGAGTTAATGAGAGGCGACTAAGACTTCGTTTGCGACAACTTTTTTATTTCTTCTTAAATCAACTTTTTAGTACAAACATTTTAATTTTTGTACTAAAAAACTGGTTTAAGTAGCAGTAAAAAAGCCGTCCCAAATGAAGCCTAAAATGACGAGCGAAAGACTTAATGTCATACGGATCGAGAATATATATCAAGTCCATTCATATAAAAATATTTTTTAATAATCATGGTTCTAATAATTCATCAAATATACCTTTGATCTACTCCAACTAGTGACTTCCCCTTCCCTAAAAAATTGGTAAACATATAAAGTGAGAGGATAGCTTAGTAGTTGACTGAATGCAAGAAAGTTGAATAATATGTATGCTATTATTAATTGAATTATGGAGGTCAATCCTTTATTGATTCAATATTCTCTATACGACTCTTAATTATATATATCATACACAATGTATATGATCATGATCAATATTATTATGTTAGAATCATATGTATAAGTGTCATGTATGACACAATTATGACTAAGACTATAACATTAAAGTCATACTCTATTTATGGCATTGTAACTTATCTATATTATTTCAATGATTCTTATTGTGCATAGTAATTCATATCATCATATATAGTTACATATCCTTATTTACATGTATTAACATCAATTTATATTTATTTTAAACACCAAACTTTATTTATTTCACACAAGACTTAACTGGGTTGTACGTGTTGAGTAGTCAATGTCATTTTTTAAGAGAGATCATATAGAGCTTTAGAGAGGGAGAAGTATCTCCTTGCTTGCAAGAGTGTCCAAACCACTTAGGAGAGAAGATATGAGGTTGAGAGAGAATTTCCTTGAGGGAGTCAAGGGGTGTGAGGGTTTCACATAATTGTTCATGTCGGCCTGCACATTGTGTCCTCCATGTTGTAGTTGTGGAGCTCTAGGAGAAGAGCTCTAGGAATATTTGGATGATACCTAAGAGATGAATCACTCTGAATATAAGAGGACCCCTTATCTCACAATCATGATGATAGTATGAACTTAGTTGTCCAAGATTATAGTGATGAATAAAGTACCACCTTCTTATAACTTCCTCAAAATAGAGTCATATTTGTATATATAATTTATGATGCCGCATTCAATGTCATACCATTGTAAGTTCACAACTATTATAATAACTACTTTTTATCGATATAAAAGGGTGTGTTAGGAGGGACAAATGTTAGACTCGTTGATATAACAATTCATCTTCTACTAAGTTGTTCCTTTGAGAGAGAGTTCATCTCATAAATGCTTAGGAAAATTTGGTATCAAATAATTGAGAGAGAGAGAGAGAGAGAGAGAGAGAGAGAGAGAGAGAGAGAGAGAGAGACTTGCTTCAAAATTAAGAATATAGATTATCCTATATACCTCACTCCATTGACGCTTTCTTGATGTGTCTATTAAATATCCCCTATTCATGTAAACAAATCAATTCACCCCTTGGATGACTTGATGGGAATCTCTAGGATATCATTTCCATTAGTCAATGATGGTGGTATAGCGACAATTGTAATGGACCAGTTACTTCCCATTGACGATTGAATAACGCAATTTTGAAGCACTTGATGACACACGTTATATGCAGTTGAAGTGTAAAACAATATTTATTGTTTGAATAATCCGAAATAATTATGAGAAGATATATAATATGATTTTATCATTATTTATAATAATAAGCTTCTTATGAATTTCAAAATTTTAAGACAAATAATTTTCAAAATTTTAAATTTAACTATAAGTATTTTTACAGCTTAATAAAAATTTTAAACAAGTTTAATTTCCAAGCAAATATCAAAGATACTCTGATTGACTGATTTCCGGGCATCCAAAAAAATTTCACAAATTAAGAACAGTTCATGAAGACGAATTCTAGCTGTAAATAGCGACAAACTCTTCACCTTCACCTTTCAATCTTCACATCCAGACATCAACATATGTCAACTCATACTTCGCTTGCAGCACCTGAGTTACCGACTCTACTGCTGAGTCACCGTCGCTTGCCAAATATACAATCCAGCTTTCAACTACAACCTTGCCGGCAATCCCGGCCGGCCCGGCCATGGTTGTTCTATGTTCTAATTTAAAATTTGGAAACATACTTATCTTCATTATTATATTAATGAATGAGCTCATTCACCTTTTCTCTTCTATTTGAAGCCGGAAGAACAACTAGCTAGTATTCAAGAGCCTGTTCTCTTTGATTTGCTAGCTGTTTCTAGAGAACATCATCGATCACCTGAGAAGATAAGAACCGGCGATCGCCATGGGGGCGGTGACCAGCTCTTGTTGTGGAGAGGAGAAGGTCGGCACTCAAGGGTGAGATTTAAGCTTAGTTTCATTCTACTTTTCGTCCTTAAGCAGCTCTGGAGAGAGAACTTCTTCTTCCTAACTAGTTTTATATGTATTGCTTTCCTGTGTATAGATATGTTGGAGCGCCAGAAAGCTCGTCATGGAGGTTGTTTACTTATAAGGAGCTCCATGCAGCCACTAATGGCTTCAACGAAGATTACAAGCTTGGAGAAGGGGGCTTTGGAAGTGTGTATTGGGGAAAGACTACTGATGGTCTTCAGGTTTATATTTCAGAATACTTTTTACTGTTTGTATTCGTGTGGATTAATCCAAAAAAAAAAAAAAAATTCTGATTTTGAATGTTGGGGGGATGAACACAGATTGCAGTGAAGAAACTGAAAGCCATGAACTCAAAAGCTGAGATGGAATTTGCTGTGGAGGTTGAGATACTTGGAAGAGTGAGGCACAAGAACCTGTTGGGTCTTAGAGGATACTGTGCTGGAGTTGATCAAAGGCTTATAGTATATGACTACATGCCTAATCTCAGCTTGCTTTCTCATCTTCATGGCCAATTTGCTGATGAAATGCGATTGGATTGGAAGAAGAGAATGGATATTATTGTTGGATCTGCTCGAGGCCTGATGTAAGTTTTTTTTTTTTTTTTTTATTTTTTTTCCTTTTTTTTTTTTTTGAATTTATCACTTTTGTCGTATTTGTTGACAAATTATAATAATTTATAAAAAAATATTTTCTATTGCTGTGGAAATGAAATAATTTGGTGTTGTTGGCTAAAATAAATTTATTTATTGAATAAATGATAGATCTTACTTAATTTTTTATTTCATTTTTTGATATTTAATCATTTTTTTCCAAAATTATGATATTATTATTTATGTGACTAAAAATATATTTTAGTTATGTTCACTTAAAAAAAAGTATACAACAACAACAACAAGCCTTTATCCCACAATGTGGGATCGGCTATATGAATCATTTTTCTCCATTGTGTCATGTTAAGCTTCAAATTCTCATCTAAATCTAATTAACACTTGAAGTTATAAGGTCCCAAGTTCTGGATGAGAAAATTGAGAGCTGCATTAGGTAGTTGACAGCCAGCGTAAAACTAGTCGAATATTCATGACATGAATTCCTTAATACATTTTAAAAAAGTATGACTAGAAATTTTAATTTAATCAGATTTTTAAATAATATCTAAGCATTATTATGGATCTAGTGATAATGAATATTTCTTAAATATTGTTAACACAGTGGTATAATTAGTTAAGTTGATGTGAATGTAAGAAGAATATAATGTTTAAAAGAATTGCACTTTTTTTAGCTTGGAGAGCTCATCCTTTGAACACATAAGTTTTAGTAAATGAGTAATTTTGCAAAATTATTGGACTTCAATGAAGTACTCAAATTCAAAAGTAAAAAACTAAAAACTCTTTCAAATATCAGGGGACTTTTATTTTAATAAATTCATAATTGCACAATTGTAATTTGATGAGACAAATTTAATGGGACAAATCATGAATGTGAATGCAAGTCCATTTAGATCATGAGTCAATCAAACAAAATCTATTTATATTTGTCCAGGGGCAACCCCTATTCTATATTACATGACTTTGAAGCTTGTGGCATAAGGTTAGCAACGGTGAAGCCCCACTACTAGGGCAAATTATTACGTCCGGTCATCAGACCTAGAAATAGGTCCGGACATCTACTAAAAATTTGTCACATGAACTGTACTTTGACTCAAAAAAGCACATGTAAAGTGCATGTAAAGCGCAGGTAAAATGCAGTTAAAGCGCACCTAAAGCGCAGTCAAAGTGCAGTCCACGTGGCAAATTTTTATTGGATGTCCGGACCTACAAATAGGTCTGGTGACCAGACCTAATAATTTGGCCACTACTATGTGATAGTGGTGTCAATAAATGAAACGAATCATCAAATCGATTTGAAAAATTCGGATTTGGATTGACCTGCTTATTAAACAGGTTGAGTTTGGGTCGTGCATTTGAACCCGCTTATTAAACTTGTCGGGTTCCAACTAACTCAAATTTAACCTAAAAAAAAGACCCATTTAATATTTTTTTGTAAAATTCTTTTATTTGTTGATATATTCTTCATATTTTTACTCAATTAAAAAAATAATATTTAACCATTATATTTGCATATATATTATCAATATTATATAGGTACCTCCACCACGAGGCGGCTCCGCATATAATCCACCGCGACATAAAGGCCAGCAACGTCCTCCTCGACTCCGACTTCCAACCCCTCGTCGCCGACTTCGGCTTCGCCAAACTCATTCCCGACGGCGTCAGCCACATGACCACACGCGTCAAAGGCACGCTCGGCTACCTCGCCCCCGAGTACGCCATGTGGGGCAAAGTCTCCGAGAGCTGCGACGTCTACAGCTTCGGCATTCTCCTCCTCGAGCTCGTCTCGGGCCGCAAGCCCATCGAGAGGCTCCCCGGCGGCGTCAAACGCACCATCACCGAATGGGCCGAACCCCTCATCTCTTCAGGCCGACTCTCCGACCTCATCGACCCGCGCCTCAACGCCGAGTTCGACGCCGACGACCTCCGCCGCATACTCCACGCCGCGGCCCGCAGCGTCCAGTCCGATCCCGACAGGCGGCCCACCATGAGACAGGTGCTGGATATTTTGTCCGGGGGTGGTAATGGCGGTGTGTATGGGCGGGTCGGAGGGGAGAGGAATGTCGACGGTGGTGATGATGAGATGATGAAGGCGGTGAGTTATGGTGATCGGCAAGGCTCGTCGACGTTGAGAATGGAGAGCATAAAGTATGGGCAGGAGTTGATGGCCATGGATGATGATGATAGCAATGACGGGGATGTGGAGGATGAGGATGGGGAGAGGGAGACGGAGACGACGAGTGCGAGCAGCTTTGAATTGGGTGGTGGTGGTCGAGTGGCGGTGCAGAGGATGAGGGAGAGCACTTATGGGCAGTATGATACAGCGATGGGGAGCAGGAGGACTGCGCTGCGTGGCTGATCATCAATACGTATATATATATATGCATTATTTGAGCACTTATTGAACTGCTACTCTGCGTTTTAAGGGAATTGTGATTAGTTAATTAATTAATCACCATTTTTTGATGTTAGAGAGCTGTTGCTTGTTTCTTTGATTCAATTCTTGATTGATGAAGATTGAATATGGAAATCTTTTCGTGGCTTTGGCTTTGTTTGGGATGGGTTTATAGCTTTTTAAAAACAGTTCTTTTAATAAAAAAATTTTTGAACTAAAAAATGTTTTATAAGAAAGTAAGAAGTCTTGGGATTCGTTTGGAACAGCTTTCTTAATGCTTTCTAAGACAGTGTTTTAGTTAAAAAATTTCTTGAATTAGAATTTTTTTACTAAACAATAGTTTTAAAAATCAATGAAAAAGTTGTGACAAATGAAGCCTTAATTAGTGATTTTGGTGGATGAAAAAGGGGTGTACATATAAGCTGTTGAACAACGCTTAACCATTAATGACTTTGCAAAGGTGTATGATGTTTTGGGGGTTAATTGTGTTCAATATTTATTAATGATTAATTAAATAAAATGGTATTTTAGTTTGATGTTATGTATTTTTATGTTGAAATTTGATTATTGTTATGAATTTTAACTAGATTTATAAGAGGATGGTGCCTTTTGAGATAGATCTGTATTAATTTTATAAGTGTGCAAAATTTGAATGTTACTCTTGCTATTGCTCCTAATAATATTTTCTCCTAAGAAAGAAGATGAGAGTATCATCAATCTTGAACCCGATTTTATTTATTTATTTTCTTCTTACATTTGAACAGAAGAAATTTAAAATTTTTCTTGAAATTTTTGAGTGAATTTAATTGTAAATTCATACACATTATACGTAAACATTATATAGGCAAGATGTCGAACTCAAGTCATGTTGTTTAGGAATCTAAGGTCTCAACCAACAAATTAATTAAGAGTCTGTTTAGGATGGTTGTAATATTTTATTTATAAAGTTGTTAATTATGAGATAAGAAAATATTTCAAAAATTGCTATGACTACTATAAAAATGTTATTTAAAAGAAATCGAGTAGTTGATTTCTTAAAACTAACATATATGAGCAACTCTAGTTGTAAAAAGCATCTTCCCACAATGAAAATTTTTGAAAAGCAGCAGTCAAACGGAGCTATAGTTGTGATGTGAAAAAAATAAATAGCGAGAAACTTTTTTTTTAATAGACCCCAAGATAAAATGCATAATTTATAGTCTTTCTTGAAAGAAAATATGTAGCTAATATAGCACTAGAAAACAACATGTAGCACGAGAGAAGCAAGAATCGACAGAGTCAGCTACTGTGAGTACCTGTAAATTGAGAGCAACTCCTATGAAAAAACCCTAGTCGCCTTGTTTATTTTCTCCTTACCTTCTCACTATGTTAGCTCTATTAGCGATAGACTACCTCTCCATTTCTCCTTTCTTCCACTATATGGATGCTTTCTTCTCTTCCGGCTTTCCTGTTTTAGCATCGTGTTTAGGGGCTCCTCAACCAAAGCATATTAATAAGAACTGGAAGCAAATTCTTCAAACCTACAGCCCTTCAACTATTGATTTTACCTTTATCCTTCATTCTAGCTATTAATAATGTGGTGCACTTCTCCCCTGAGGAGGTTTCTGAAGGTTCCAAAGATTGGATTAATTTTATCTTTGGTAGGATACTTTGTTGGTCTACACCCATACTATCAAGCCCATTTGGTGGTTATTTGCAAAACATGAATCCTCAAAGGTAACCTAACTCCTCTTTCTCTTTAAGAGGGCTTCTTCCTCCTTCGTTCTGTGGTGGAAGAAGATTATAACAAGGCCTGGACGTGTGGGTTCTTTCAAAGCAAGCCTTCCATACTTCATAAATGGACCCCCCGCTTCCTTAAATTAGCTAAACCAAATATAAAGGCAACAACTTTTCAAGCCCCTCCACAAAATTCCCCTCCTTCATTAATCCCCTCAACTAACCTCTAAACTGCTATGGTTGATATTCTTCCACCCCTTCAAGTAGTTCCCCACTCCACCTCCCCTCCAATAGCCTCCTACCTCGTTCTCCATCCCCATATCATCAAAAGCTTCAATCCCAAACCTTAACTCTCCCATAGATGATCAACATGCATATGATATACATCCTAATATCATCACACCCCTCTCTTGATTCCATCATAATCCATAACACTTTTGTTTCTTTACAATCTAAGGATCCGATATCTCTCAGGTGGTTACTTCTCCCAACCCACCACATTCTCATGTATCCAAATCCACCTGAGCCAAACTTTCCAAAATTGCAACAAACCAATCTTCCAAGTCCCAATGATCCAAACCATCCATAGCATCTTGGAATATTCATTATTTTAATTGCTCAGATAAAATTCTTAACAGTAATGAGTTAACCTATATCCATTCTTTGGATATGATTTGTATTATTAAAGCAAAAAATAATAATTATGCTTTAGATGATCCTTTTGGTTTGCTGCATCTCACCAAATTTTTATGAATGAAGACAATTATAATAATTTTGGTTTTTCAAAACCTATTATTCTCTCTTTTTTATCTAGCTAAGTAATCCATGATACCATTTTATCTGGTTCTCTTCCCCCTACCAATTATCTGTGATGTATCCCTCTATCTCTTTTGATGAGAGGTTATCTCTTTGGGATCAATTTTTGAATATTTATATATCTCAACCGTGGGCTATTTTTGGATATTTCAATTACTGTAAGTTTTCTAATGAGATATTTGGTGGAAACACTCTTCATCACAACATGCTTGGTTTTCCTTTAATAGAATTATATTTAATACTGGTATTAAAGAATTGACTTCTATTAGAATGTTTCATACTTCGTTCAACCAAAAAACTAATAATACAATTATTATTAAATTGGATAGTGTGTTCATAAATGTTTTATGGTTTGAGCATTTCCCTTTATCATACTATAATGTGGACCAACTCAGATGTTATGATCATACTCACATAATCCTCCTAACTAATTCTCCACTTCACAAAAATCACAAGTTCCTGGTTAAGAATTATAGAACCTCTATACCCAATTTTTGGGATGCCCTTCTCAAGGCTTTTTCTCAAAAATTCATTGTGAATTCCATATTTTTTAACTGTACAATTGGCTCCAAACCCTCAAAATCCTTATTAAATCCAAATAATGGGAATCCTCTAATTCTCTAAACACCACCAGGTCTATTCTATAGTAGCAGCAAAAATATTGCCTAGCTTCTTATGATTAACCAAGATCCCCTCAACCCTGACTTAAACTCTTCTTTGAAAGTCATTAATGCTCAATTGGCCTGCTTCTCTACCTCTTGGACTTCTTGGTTGATGCAAAGGTCTAAGGACAAGTGGTTTACTCATGGGGAGGATGACATAAAATTTACGGCTAGAAGCAAAGTCAGGAAAAACAAAAATAGGGTTATTGCTTCTCCTTTATGTACGGGGTATCTCCATCCAGTATTGATAACATTAAATTAAGTCATTATTGACCACTTCCATAAACTCTATAACACTCCTAACCCCAACAACAACAACTTTCTCTCCCTCCCCCTCGAAACCTTTCTCCTCCTCACCTTGTCCTCTTTCTTATAGCTTTAATCACTAACTTTGAAATCAAATAAATTATCTTTTCTTCCCCTTTCTTTGTTACACTCGGCCTAAATGGTTACACATTTGAGTTTTTTTAAGCTCCTTGGAATTTTATTGAGCACCATGCATGTTATGTAGTGAAGCAATTTTTCCATACTAGCCACCTTCCTAAGAAAGCTAAGGCGATTGTTATTGCCTTAATTCCCAAGACCACTCATTCAACTGTGATTTCTAATTTCATACCTATATCTTTCTGTAACTCTTTTTATAAAGTGATTACTAAGATTATTTGCAACAGATTGAAACTCTTGATGCCTCACATCATTCATAAAAAATTAGAGTGGATTCATTAATAATGAGATTTCAATTGATAATTCTATTATTACTTCAGAGCTGTTGGATGAGTTTATTTAAATCCTCTCACAATAAGCTATTTTTTCCTAAATTATATATTTATAAATCATTTGATACGGTTCAAGCGCATTTCTTATTCAAAGGCTTCACCAAAAGGCTTTCCCCCTCTTTTTGTCTCTTGGATCGTTAGCTATATTAAAGAGATTTATCATTTTAGTAACATTAATAGTGGCTTGGAAGGATTTTATCATCTTTTTGGGTCTCATACAAGGTTGCCAATTATCCCATTATCTATTTTGCATTATTATGGATATGTTTTCTAACCTTATTAATATCCCCTCTTGAAGTCATATTTTTTATGGGGTTATTGTTGCTGATGTTTAAATTTCAAACTTGTTGTATGCATATAAATGACCTACTATTTATTATTTGGGAATTCCACTAAGCATAATGTTACATCCCTCATTAGCATTCTCTATCACTTTGCTTCTTCTTCTTCTCTGCGAATAAATTACAACAAAAGTTATATTTTTGTTTCCCATATCACCCACAACTCTTCAAAAAATTGCAATATTATTAATATTCCCGCCTCAACAACCATATTACCTACTTGGGTATTTCTGTTTCCCCTAAAAGGCTGTGTGTTCTTGACTTTTAGCCTTTTATGTTGAAACTTTATACGCTTTTAGATGGTTGGAAAGCAAAGTTGCATTCCTTTGCTAGAAGGTTGAAATACATAAGGTTTACTATTTAGAGCATCATTGCCTATTGAATAAGAAGTATGGATTTTCCCAAATCTTGTTGTAAACAAATTGATAAGTTATGTGCTAAATTCTTCTTTTAAGGGAACACTATAACCAAAAATTATATTTGATTTCTTTGAAGCATACATACTTACCTAAGGATTGAGGTGGGTTGGGCCTACCCTCTCTTCTAGCTTTACACTTTGCTTATGGCTTCTCTATTTTTTTTTAGAATTTATAACTTTGACAGCCCTCTTGTCTTATGATGTAAACACAAATATGGGTCTTCATGGAAGCCTCCCCTCATAAAATCATCTATTTTCTTGAAATATATGTCTAATACTGTCC